GTAACCACGATCCTTCTCTGCCACACACCCCCTCCCTGTGTGTCTCTTGAGCCGATTCCCTGGGTTCCATGCGCCACGGGCTGGCGTATACCCATAGCGTTCCTCGTCGCTGTGGTGGTCGCTATTAACGCAACAGAGAGAAGCTTGGATTGCCAGGACGAATCGGACAATAGCGACGACAGTGATAGTTGAGTAGTAATTTGTCCGATGAAAGCAACCTTTTGAGGCTCAAGTGGTCTTCTCAGAAAGTGCCAGTTCCCTCTGTATATATATTTCAAGTAAAATCATATATAGTCTGGCTGAACACCGTCTGGACTCATTAGGACTAGCATTGGAGTGACTAATCAAGTCCTTATTATAACTATACAACATCAATGAAGGTCGGCCAAATGAGATGCTTTTCTCAAGTTCTTCAGTTTACAAGTTAAGATGCATATTGGATAATTATACTTACATGTAATCCAGACCTACTAGCCGAACAATTTCGTAGGTTAGCCACCCCTCAAGCTTAAACCATTTACACGCCTACGAGTCTTCTGTAAACTAAATACTAATAGAGGGGCGGCTTCGATCGGAAAATAAAGCGATATAACCGTGCAATGCTATGTATTTCAGCGGCCCCACATAACAAACCGGGCGTGTTCGCAAGTAGATATTCAAGTACGTAAGGCAGCAATACTGCTGTCATTTCAATAAGACATAGATCCATAATTAATCTAGAAATACAACCAGTGCCAAGATCGCGAATGTGACCATCCGCTTAGTCCTCGTCACCGTCGGTTTCATATTCAAACTCCTCGGGGACGGGGGCCTCCTCGTCATCCTCGTCATCCTCATCAACAGCTGTCAAAACACCCGCAGCAGCAGCGGCTCCTGCAGCTGCCTCAGCCAAGCGGCTCGAGCCCCGTTGAGGGGTTTGGAGGGCGGCGGCGCCCATGGCAGCTTGCAGTCGGTCTTGCAGAGACTCTGCCGCCGCCGTAGGTTGCCTAACCTCTTTGCTTGCTTTCATCTCAATCGTCTCTCGTGGTTCTTCTGGTTTCTTATCCAGCACGACAACCACTCCGCCGGTAGGCTATTGTTGCATAGTTAGCATATATGATCAATCTAGACACAAGGACTACACGCAAGAGATACGTACCCGTTTGACCGGCTCGTACCGTGGATCAGGGAATGTGAGGTACTTCAGTTGAGTAGGGAGGACTCTTGACATGTTCTCGAGCTCATATCCAACTCGTTCCCGTTCCGCCTTCTTTCTTTGGCCCTCTCCGGACTCCTTCTCTCCTTCCTTAGTGTCATCCTCCACTTTGGTGGCGGCATCGTCCGTTTCCATTCTATCCGGCATTTGATCCGAAACCTTAGGTGTGGTAGGTGTCTGATCGATATCCATACTCTCTCGTCGTTGCTGCTTCTCTCGGCGTTGTGCACGACGCTTAGCCTGGGCGGTGGTGGACAACACGGCAGTTTTGACTTTCTCAGGAGCTTCCTCAGTTTTGACCTGTTGCTCGGGAGGATAGTCAAACAGGCTTGGCCGAGTATTACTGTGGAACTTGAAGAAAGGAACTTCAAGCTTCTGGTCCACGCCGATCACAGAAGTGGGGGCGAAGCTGAGCGACAAGAAATGGGTAAGAGGGAACCAGTACCAGTACTGAGTAAATACAGCAGCACCGACGATTCCAGGCATATTGAGATTGCCAGTCTGCGTCTGAAGACTGATAGTGCAATTCCGGCCACCAGCATCTATGATACCCAGGGCGACGGCGCAACCAAACTTAGCCATGGCATCCTCGTGTCTATCTCCAATCATCTTCATCATGACTTTGCGAAGAGTGCTGACTCGGGGGTTCATGGCCTCGTTCTGCTGCACCAACACCATGGCCAGAGAGATTAGAGCTCCCTGTCTCACAAAGTCTGTGGAATCTTTGAGCATCGGCTCAAGCAGGTCGATGGCCTCATCCAAGCCCGTTCCAGCACATGAGATACCGAGTGCCATAGCAGCACCATACCGTACGTGAGGATTATAGGACTCCGAAAGGAGCTCAACCATACGAGGCACGCTCTGGTACTTTCTGAACAGGATAAAGCCCAAGCTCAGGACTGCAATACGTCGCACATCATCGTTGACATCGCTAACGGCAACATGGAGGAGCTTACGGACAGCCTTGTTGCTACTAGTGCCACAATATGCGAGAGCAATGGTCATGATACCACCGTAACGGAGAGTGGGATCAGGGTCGCCCAAAAGGCCATTGATCAGTTCATCAGCAGCCTCTTGGCGGGAGTACATGATCAGAGCCATACCCATAGCCAGACCGCGAACGATCTTCTCGTGTTGTGTCTCATGGGCATACTGAATCATATCCTCGAGAGCTCTCATGTTACCTGTTCCCAGCATGACCAAACCCATGGCCAAACCAACAGCTTCACCGTTGATGGCCGAATCAGAATATAGGACGGTTCGTAAATCGTCGTAGATACCCTCATCACCAGTTGCCATGCCGGCAACACCTAGACCTAAAGCTCCACCATGCTGAACAACCTCCTCGGTCGCCTTCTTGAAGTGGTCGCGAATAAGGTCAACAGCCATACCGCCATGGTTAGCATATATCAAACCAAAGGCATACAACGAGCCTCCTTGGCTATAGACTGAGCCCGATCCTCCAACACCGGCAATATGTTCCCTTGGAAGGTACGGCTGCAGGAGCTTCTGGCCCTGGCTCAGGTTACCACGATGGATGACACCAAGAGCAGCCGTAGCGGTGAACTTGGACCAGTTGACAGCCTTTCCTAACCATTCCAGGTTGTCCCGGAAAAACTTGTCGTGTGTAGTACCCGCATGCATGAAAGCATTGGAGAGTGTGACAGCGGTGTGGAAGATAGAGTTCCGAGCTTCCAAGCTATCCCGAACTTTGTTAAGGATAGCGATATCAGCCTTGTTGCTTCGGTACAGAAATTCTAAGTTTAGTTGGATACTCTGAATGCCGTCAAGGATATCAAGGATGTTCTTAAACGCCGACCGTGATTCAGAGGATAGCTTCGACTTGTCGTCGTTGGCCCCGATAGACCTGGGCTGTGACGAGCTGGACTGGTCTTCCAACAAAGGATCAGACTCCTTCGGCTCCCGGTCACCTTCCGCTGTGTCTTGCTGTTCTTCAACCTCCGCTTCTGGTACCAACTCGGCAATTTCCTGACGAACTTTTTGGAGGAATTCTTGTGTGCTGTTATCGTAAAGATCAAATGAAATTTGATATGCCACAGCAAGGGACCGCGCATCGCCCTTCTCCACTAACTGGCGGAGAATGACAGATGCCATAGAGTGTTCGTTGAGGTATACGACGCACTTCGCTATCGAGAAATAATCGGGATTAGGGATTTCATTCAAGAGCTCAAGAATGAGTTTGAGAATCTGGAAAGTAGATTAGTGCCGGAGTTCCTGTAACACGGGAAAAGAACGTACCTCGTTACGGAACGCACGCTCCTGCACAATACCCATGCAGATATCCAGTACGTATTCCATCAGTTCCTCACTCCTTCGAGACTCGCCGTTCTGTTTCTTCTCATCTTCACTTGCCCGAATGATGGTTTTCCGAAGCACGTCCAAGCTCTTCGCTTCGATGGCAATTCCGATCACCTGGCGATATCGCTTTTGGATGAAGCATTGCTCAAACAGACGTTCGATAACGGCCTGTAACTGGCCCTGAACACCTCTCTTCAGGACAAGTGGCGTCTCAACCTGGCTAACGCTAGCATCATCGCCACCCGGGTAAGTCGCATCAATACCTGGTACTTCTTGTCGGGAAAGGAGTGACTTCGATGGTAAGGCAGACTGCGAAAACGGAGTGATCGGGGACGTCAAACTAGCAGAGGTGCTTGTAGCACCTTCGCTGGAAGTGGGGAAGGCAGTATTGAGATTAGCCGGCTGGTCACCAGCGGCAGGTCGTTGAGCAGCAGAGAGGGAGATGAAGGTATCAACGCATTTAGCTGTGTATCATATCACGTTAGCGGCGCTCCTATATGTTTCGAGGAGCATACAAACATACCGATAATCGTTTCTTCGAATTCGCCTCCATTGTCTAACTTGAAAAGTTTCCCCGCACCGAGTGCAAATACCATGCTCTCATTATATTCTTGGAGGTGATAGTAAACTTTAGCGGCGACAAGAGCAGCGAGCTCGCGTTCTGGGAAGGTCTCATCTTCGTAAAGTGCCTCTCTAAATGCAACATATTAGTGTGGACTCCCTGGAACGAAGTTGATTGATGGTATGGATAAAAGCACATCCAAGACCGAAGGTCTGATGTGATGAAAGAGATGTCATAAGCTCGGAGGGAAGCCATACATTTGCGGGACAGCATCCACCACTTCTGTCCAGAGCAAATCGATCTGAGAGTCTAAGGTCTTTAAAGCAAAAACCCGCAGCTCAGGGTCTGGCTCAGAAAGGAAGCCGACGAGGCCAGCAGCCGAAGCGAGTCCAACCATGTCTAACTGATTATGATATTGCTGGAGGGATGAGGCGACAGCTTCAACGGAGCTTTATAATAGTCAAATCGGCCCACGGGGATGATGAGGGGCTCGAGTCTATACGTAAGACCAGTAATAGCGAGATCTACTGGGAAGAATGATGAAGGGGAAGGATACAAGGAAAACGGACAGCAGTTAGAGATTCGGAGTGATCAGGAAGCTTCGCAGATGAGGCACACGTCAACGGGCTTCCAGGCTGATGGAAAGGTTCCCGTGGTTCCTGCAGAAACCCCTAGAGCTGTCACGTGATCTATGATGGCATGGGTTCAAGCTTCCCGAAAGGGTCACAAGCGCACTGAGCACAACCTTTAGAGCTACCAACAGAGGTCACACATCCAAGTCAGGTTCAATGCTCTGACTTGCTTTTAGGCATCTTATTATCTAGTTTTCTGAGAATTCGATAAGAGATCTTTGTTTTCCAATTTCAATGTCCGAGTAGTTTCTCTCTAGGCCATAAACCAGGTGAACCATCTTCCTCTTTAATCATGTCGACAACCCTTCCGAAAAATGGGGATTCACGTCTCTTATCTCTGCCCATTAGGGCGTCTGCCTACCACCAAGATCCTCTGATTTATATTGACCGTCAAGCGAAACACATCCAACATAACCTACAGGCTCTTATCGACGCTCAGAGCGAAGGTCTCCTAGCAGGTCTCCAAGGACCTCAGTTAAACGAGACACCTACTGGGAGCTCTACCCCTTCCGCAGAAATCAACGTCCTGCAGACGCCCTTGACCGTTCCAGTCAGACAACCGGCTGCGGAGAAGATTAGCTTGCGTGCTGCGCGCGAAGGAATTTTTAAATCCATATTTGACTTGCTGAAACTTAGGGAGGAGGAGCGAGAGGTACTCACAGCTTGTGTTGCCATACGAACTGACGCGCTGGATGAAATCAACGGCTTTATCACCAAAAAAACCGGGCTCGAGGAGGCTGTGTCGACAATTCACAACAATAGAGAAAGTCAACGCACCAAGGAACTTCGAGAGGAGGGTCATAAGCTAGAGGCGGACATTCATGAGTTGGAGACAAAGCTATCTCAAATGAGAGCAAGGCATCGTCATGTCATGGAAGAGCTAGCATATATGGAAAACTCGGTGGACTCCAAGTTATCCTCCTACAAGGCCTCCTTATCCCTGTTAGAATCGGACATCCAAAAGTTCCTTCAGAAACCCCCTGTCCCACCCCAATCGAGCTTCGCTAATGGTGCAACATTATATTCATTGAACCCTAAACGCCGGACGCTTGATATGGCCCGAGAGCATTGGACAACGGAGCAGTCCGAATTGCGAAAGAGGCAAGAAGAAGTAGACCTTGAGATACAGGCACTTGAGGCCGGAGGGGGAGTCTGGAAACAAGTTGTTTTAGAAGTTTGTCGATTCGAAAGACGGCTAAAGATAGCAATGCGTCGTTCACTACAGAATCAGTCGCAAGTTTTAGAATCTTCTAGGGTTGTTGATAATAACTCCGAACTTGACCATGTTCGTTGGATTTTGGAAGACCTACACAATACAACAGAGCACGTGGAACACTATCTAGGAGTTGCAGAGGAGAGGGACTGGAAATTGCTTGTCTGTTGCATTGCGGCTGAACTCGAAGCATTGCGGGATGCGCGAGAAATGCTTCTTGACGCCTTCGATATTTCGGATGAAGACCCTTCGCTTTCTTCAGAACGAAGGGTGCCTGACAAGCCTGAAGAAGATAACCTGCATGATCCACGTCAAGATACTCTTGGTGTCGACAATCCCGACCCTCCCGCTGATCTATTAAAGGATGTTGAAGGACATCATTCTGACACCATTTCTAGATCGGAAGACGAAGATGATGAGCCGGATCCTGCGTGGCTACTACCGGAAAGTTAAGAGAGATTCATGAAATTAAATTTATAGAAATTTTGACAGTTCTTAGGAATACCCTGGAAGCGAACTACTAATAATGTAGTATAAAACTAATAACTACTAGTAGTTAACTAGCTATAAATCTATGATCAAGACTGGTCTGGGCTTATTGTCCAGCGTCGTAGGGCAACGTATGTACCTAAAAAGAGTGCATCGGGGAAGACGCATTGACCAACTTTGCAACTTCGGGGTCTTAAAACCCCCTCCGGCAGCGTGACATCAGGAACCATTCGCCGCGTTAACGGCAGAGTTCTCGGGTATGTATCTATATTGCTATAGTTTCAACATAGACATCTTGCGCTGAATCCTGTAAAAATATGTATCTACCCTCTCCCACATACGCTTTCACCATTCCTTCACTTCACGATGACACTCAACTCGACTGTCGCCTTTATCTTCCCCGTACTTTGTTGCAGTCAGAAACTATACGAGGGGCTATAGTCGCACATCCATATGCTCCTCTCGGTGGTTGCTACGACGATCCAGTCGTAAGCTTTGTCGGAGGCGAGCTTTTGAAGAGTGGATATATCGTGGGCACATTCAATTTTCGGTAAGTACAATGGCTGGCTTTTTTGGTGCTCCTTGACCTCCGTACTTGTTTACTCTCTTTTTCTTCTCATTTTTTTCTGGCTTATACATAATCATTGGATGGGTGCATACTGATCTGTTCTGTAGTGGTGCCGGTACTTCAGAAGGACGGACTAGTTGGACCGCGAAGCCCGAATTAGCAGATTATGTTTCCTTCTACGGATTCATGCTGTGCTACTTGCATTCCTTGAGGTCGCAACAGGTTTCACGGCGAGGGGATGGAAATATCCCAGGTGGGCCCAGTGTTGAGGGCTCCGATGCTCAGTCTACACTTGCCCGGGCAGATATCCATCTCATCCTCGGTGGTTATTCTTACGGCTCATTAATTGCATCACATCTTCCCGCACTTGATATCGTTGCGGACCTCTTCAAAAACATAACTGTTAGTAAACAGGCACATGAAATCCTCCAAAGTGCAGCGAAAGTTTCGGCTCTGTTCGAAGCCAACGACTCAACCCAAGAACGAAACTTGGCAGCAGAAGACCACCTGGCCGTGGAAGAACCGCCGGATATCTCAGGAACAACAATTTCATACCTTCTCGTGTCGCCCCTCTTGCCGCCACTCAATCTGTTCCTAACGTTCTTCTCAACAATGTCTTTAGATGTTGGGGCTCACAGTCCATCTCAACGGAGACAGATTCCATGCCCCAAGCCAACTCGCCAGCTATGCGCCCATCCGACTCTAGCTATTTACGGAAACCAGGACAGCTTTACATCTGCAAGTAAATTAACTAAATGGTCAGACGAACTGTCGCATGTGCCCGGGGGTCAATTTCAATCGGCCGAGATTGACGGAGCTGGACATTTCTGGAGAGAAAATGGGGTCGAGTCGCAGGCAAGAGATGCACTAGGAAAGTGGTTGCGTCTGATACCTTGACTTTCTCAGCAGAATAGCGAATAAAAGGTCACTTAATGGCAGTTCTATGGTCACTCTAGGAGAGGTCTAGAATGTTGGACTGAAAGATGGATGGGACCGCGTTCCCCCATTTTCAGGCCCGTTTCACATGCACCCCCCTATCTCCAAAGCATGTGATAGTCCTGGTTTCGCATGACCATCCCCAACTTATAGTGGGGATTTATCGTCTTGACTCGGGAGTCTGAGATTCGACTCCAAATGGCTATGGTGTCACTGGGTCTTCTTGTAAACGGGTTGATACCGTTACGCACAAATAGCATGTTAAACATGGGTATCGCAGCCTACCGACCCTTGACCCATGACTGAGAGTTTAGGCTCAGCTCGTGGATAAGGAATACCTGAGGCAATACTCATGTATAATACTACTCAGTAAGCATTACATAACTGTCATCCTTGCCCACCAATACCCATAAATGGCATATCCATCACTGCTCATAACTCCTACTATAAATGTTGGGTTGCATTGAAATCTCGTATCGCATCAACCTTGAGATATGCGGTGTAGTAATGTTCAGGCCATCGCATAGAAATACCCCGTACGGTACATACCGGAGAACACCCGTGACCCGATATGATACCTACTTGTATACTCCTTCACTGGTCGTAAGGCAGTAAGTAGTACTTGACCGTACCCCAGGCCAACTTGTTTCGATCCGCTATCCGTTCTAAGCTATCTTTCCACCGGAAAATGTCTTTTGATGCGGTAATGCCTGCCTTCGCAATACTTAGTATCGACTTGATACTAGCATCATCCCCTCCATTCAGCTTGTGGGGCTGGATGAGATCATCCAGCCGATGATCTGGGCTGAAGGATTGGTGATCAACGTCTACAATATCCGGATTTTGCTTCTCTTTTTAAACATAGAGTTTGGGCAGTTTAGATTTCCAGAATCGAAGGTAAATCTTATAATGTTCCTGTGGTTATGGATTGAATAAAGTGGGATGTTGTTGGTGCTGGTTCAACGGTGTCCAGACGGCGGGCTTTCCGAATGAAGAATCCCCGCGAAAAGGAATTGATGCGCATGATGAGCGGTTTCCCTGGGGCTGACTAGCGCTTGTGGCGATCGATAGCCACTGAGCCGGACTTCTGTCCAATCACCAAGGGCGGACAGGGGGTCCCTCGTGACGCCTGGATCTACTCCGGACGGGGCCTTAGGCTGCGCTGCTGACACACCCCCAGATTTATCCATGATTTGCACAGTTTCCCCGAACCATCCCAGTTTTGTTCCGCCCCATGGTCATGGAGATGAACACTTATATTTCCTGACCTATGCTTATCTCCGATTCAGCGCTAGATCTTTATTTTACATATACCTTCCTATGTGTTCTCCTTTGACCCGCTTTCCTTGAAGATAGTTTCTTCCATCCAGCGACCTCTTTTTATAGTAGCCATTTGAGGTGCTATCGGTTTCTCGGTCGAATGCCTTGATGTCAGTGGAAGCCTGGCATGGCAATCCTTCATGACTCCCCCATACTAAGCCCTCACTGTCATTCCAAGAGTAAACATGTCCGCAAACCGTCTTCCGTCAAGGAGGCTTCTGGTACTCAGTTTCGTTTCCTTCCGAGAGCCGTTTCCCTTCCCTCGCTGTCATCTGTCATCAAGTCCTCCCTGACTTGGGCTGGCGACACTTTGTATAATGCGAACCAGGATAGCCCCTCCAAGGTGGGCAAAGGTGGGCATACTACTACCGAGGATCGAAAGCAGGTGCTATATCTTAAAATGCGCAATGTATGTTAGCACTTTCTTTACCGGGCATTTCTCCACTATACGGCTTGTTGTCCTTGCAGTTTGATATGCTTTCTAACTGTATGATTCAGGCTGTATCATACAAAGAGTGGAAGGACTGCGCCTATGAGTTGGACCAATTAGAAGACAACAACTCCTGGAAAGCAACCTTCGAGAGTTCCGAATACGATCCCCATCTAGTACAGGAACGCCTGAAGCAACTAGAAGAAGCTCGCATTAGCTGTGACGTTAGCCGAATGATGTTCCTAATCCGCACCTCCCTAAGCCGCGATTTAGGAAACATGCGTAACGATTCTCTCTATAGACACTCGCACGTCGGTACAAAGGACTTGATTGATCAGTACATCACGACAGCCCTCGACACCATATCGTCACTGGTAGACCTGTCAGCGAAAGGTCGGTGTGATGGGTTGGAACTGAAGTATATCCTCGATCAACTTCTAGCAGCAAGGCAAGCTTTTGGCCGGAGCGCCTTACTATTCTCAGGTGGAGCAACATTCGGTATGAATCATATTGGCGTACTCAAAGCGCTCTGGCAGGCAAAACTACTTCCTCGCATTATCTCCGGCGCTTCGGCTGGAAGCATTGTTTGCGCTGTCTTCTGCACTCGGACGGATGATGAACTGCCGCTGCTTTTGGATACGTTTGCCTATGGGGACTTTGCCGTTTTCAATGATCCCGACCAGGAGGAGAATATTCTTCAGAAGACCGCCCGGTTTTTGAAGTACGGCTCTTTTCTGGACATCTCCAACTTAGCCAAGGTTATGCGAAACTGGCTTGGGGATATTACATTCCAGGAAGCATATAATAGAACGCGTAGAATACTTAATATCTGCGTTTCTAGCGCTGGGATCTATGAGCTCCCTAAGCTGTTGAACTACATCACAGCGCCTAATGTGCTGATTTGGTCTGCAGTGTACGTTCTACCTTTTCCCCATTGTCCCCCACCACACTCAAAATTCTATTGTCAGACTAACTTTCACAGAGCTGTCTCGTGCTCGGTGCCCTTAGTATTTTCGCCATTTGTTCTCATGGCCAAAGATCCAGAGACAGGAGAGGCAGTCCCTTGGAACGACTTGCATAGGCAGTATATCGATGGCTCGGTAGATGGCGATCTACCGATGACCCGTCTATCGGAAATGTTCAATGTCAACCACTTCATTGTGTCGCAAGTTAATCCTCATGTGGTTCCCTTTCTCCCAAAATATGATGGTCCGACCCGCGGGACACCGCAGACCCCATCCTTGACTTCACGGCTGTTCCACACCATGACGCACCTCGCGAAGGATGAGGTATTGCATCGACTGACGGTTTTATCCGAACTTGGTATTTTCCCGACATCTCTGACCAAAACCGTGTCAATCGTGAACCAGAAATACTCCGGGGATATTAACATTTACCCCGAAATACTCTACACCCATTTTCCCGTAATACTAAAGAATCCGACCACAGAGTTCATGCTCAAAGCATGTATTTCAGGGGAGCGTGCGACGTGGCCCAAACTCAGACGGATTCGGAACCACTGCGCTATTGAATTAGCTTTGGACTCGGCTATCCAACAGATGCGGGCGAGAGTGGCATTTAGTTCGAGCCAGACAGCATTAAGGACAATCGGGCTGCCTGGCTATTCGGAAACCATAGACGGTAGCTGTGGCCGAGGGCGCTTGCTTAACCGGAGAAGCTCCTACAGTCATGAAGTTGAAAAGGCCAAGCATATCAGGGCCAATTCTGGTCGCCGAGCAAGACCACTTCTAAGAAGATGCTGTAGTGTACAGTCACCCGAACAGTCGTCAGACACCGATCGGCAAGATGAGACAGATGATGATCGCGCTGAAGCTCGTGAAAGTTATTTTCCCGACCTTAACGATGACCTATCTCTCACGGAATCTGGCACTGACGAAGAGACGCGCCCCCTGGCTTTAGAACGACTCAGGCTTGCAGATGGTCGAGCAGTTCATCATCAATTATCTCGCTGGTCCGCTCCGCATGGTGCTCTCCCATCGCTGCGGTCACTACCAACTACATCTACTCACTCACGGAGGTCATCTGTAGGCACACAGTATCAACCATCAACCCATATCATAGATTCCTCTTTAACTCCGGCACGCCAGTTATCCACCAAGTTGATATCATCACCTCAAAATCGCACTCTCCGCATGACACCCACGAGCCATCCAGACCTCTTACCTCCCACCTACAACTAACAAAGTTGTGCCGAGGATCTGCTTGCTTTTAGGTGAGACGGTATTGCATGATACCCGAAGCACATAGCCAGATGGTATGACCTGTTGTATGCGGTATGCTGGCTTTGTGTCTCCGATCTGTCGGTGGGCACATTACTGTCTTGCTTGGGCCGGCCGAAATCCTGAATTACACCAGAATGCGATTGCAAACTCGGAGCCTGAAGTCCTCCTGTGGAATGTAGCGAGGATCAGGCGGGCCTCTGCGGTGCATCTCAGAAGATCGTCACATGGGGTGTAGTGTTTATGTTTTCTTTGGTCTTTCGTCAGATTTCTTACCTTTCCACTTTGTCACTTTGACATCTAGAATTGGGGACTGGTGTAGACGGATATAGGTTTGTTATTGCTGCAAAGCTAGTGGCGTTCTGACATTGGCGTTCTCAAAGAGGGTATTGGCTACAGGGCGATCCTCCCTGATCCACAAGACTTGGCTATGATAGACGGTTCTTTCAATCACACCTTGGTAATATCGTTATATATGCCTGCATATAAACCTAGACAGTCTGCGCTAGTAATTATATTGCTTAGCTCACATATGAATGCATCATAGGCAGCATTGGTTTTGTCAGTCTCATAAAGCTAGAACGACTATATGAATTTGGCTATGCCGATTACTAGGGGCCTTATCAAATAACCTCACCCTTAACGGACAAGATACATTGTCCGAGCTGACAGTATGTAGTGATCAGTGATGAGCTCTATACGGTTGATCATACAAGCATTGTGATACCAGCATAAGTTAAGTAAAAGAGTATCTGTAACAGAGGAGGCGATGTTGTAAGGCATTGTGCTTTAGTACGGCTTTTCTTCCTACGAACCACTAGGTATAGTCTTTGAAGTTCCCAGGGAACCATAAATTCTATGAGGTATCTCTACTGACACTCACATTGGACACTATGTAAAAGCCATGAGGGACATCTAGCTAGTATCTACAGTATCCTAACATGTAATCAAAAGCGTCACTTTGGAACTTC